AACAAATAATTGGAAGAATTTCATTCACTGAAACACAGTAAATATATTTTTATACTTAATTTTTAGCTGCAGTAGTAACACAGTTTATGCAACATTTACTAAACACTGAATATTCTTTTTCTCAATAAGGTAACTACAACTGGCATCATTCCAGTGGGGATTACTACATAACACTAAGCATAGAAGCCTGAAATTTAAGTTTTTTGTGTTATTGTTTAAAGAAAGCCTCACAAAATACCTCATATTGTCATTTCGGCTTCTAATATCTGTATTTTAAGTCCATGACCTGACACATCTCATTTTAACACAGCTTTAAAGATTTATACCTGACTGAACGTTGACTTCCATTCAGCATAGAACACCGTTGACTTCCATTCAGGTCATCCTAATGGTGTGAGATTATTTGTTATATTACTAGACTACTCTTAGGATGGGAACTTGTATCAGTTATAATTATTTTATATTATTTTGAAGCACTTTGTTCAGTTTATGAGATAGAGTTCCTTCTTGCATTCTAAACATATGTGAAAGTAAATTTGCACCTCAAATCTTTAGATTGCTGTTAAATTGTAGTTAAATGCAATCCTAATTTTACCGTAGAGTATTGTAAGGCAGATTTTTTTTTCAAGGGTATTTTGAGTATAAATGCAATTTTGAATTTATTAGATTTTTTTGTGACATGTGAGTTTTTTTCTAACAGAGAGGTTTGTTATTCCCTCATCATTCGTTTGCTGGACATACTAAGTTGATTAATTTATTCAATTATGGAAAAGTTCACGAGAACTTTCTACCTAAGTTCGAACCCTGTTTTGATCAAGAGTACCGTGAGATGGTAAATTGTTGTGCTGCTGGAAATGTTCTATTTATTTTTTAAAATGTGTAAAGTTGACATTAGCCGCATTGATGGCCATCTACCAATGCTCAGACATTAAGTTTATCGGCTAGATACTATTATTAACATGATTATTAATAATATCATTACATCATACAATTACCATAACCATACAATTATTAACATGGAGTTTAGCTGTGATCGTCGTGCTTATCGGAGGAACTCTCAAAAGATTAAGCTCCTTAAATCTCAATAAATTCATCATAATTTGTTTTAAGGAGAATCTTTGTTTCGGCTGAGCCGAGGTGTATTATTGCTGTTCATCCGGGTCTCATACTGAGGAACAGACATTCTTCTTCTAAATTTTTTGACGATGAAATCAAGCCAAGCACCTTAGCGACGATAAGACAGATAGTTCACGCCTCTTGTCCACAGACAGAATGTCGTATCGTTGAAATTAAACAAATGCCACTGCCCTCCAAGCAGAATGCATACAGACTTAATCACAGTGGTTTAATGTACTTTTAAAATATCTGTTAACTCATGTATAGTTTGTTAAGTTGTACATAAGTCTGTTGCTATTCATAGTATCCTGAATGGGCTGCTATTCAGAGTCGGTATTGAGAAACGGGTAAATCAATGAAATGAAGTAAATTGAAATTCAATAAACTGTACTGCATTCTGTTCCAGAACTTGCGGTGTTGACACGGATACAGTTTTAGGGAATATGTTATAAATCTTCTAATCTTCTTTTATATTGGAAATTTGAGAGAAACCATTGGACTAAGGAAAATTATTCTATAAAATCGTTTTAGATTACTAGGCTAACTTATAAAAATACCCAAGAAGTGAAGGCGACTATTGTAAGCTCTAAATCTGCTGAAGCATTCATTTTATGCCCGTTTTCACCTTGACGTAAAGCAAAAAGATAGTCAGCAACTGTAGAACTCTGCGGTGACATTTTTTTTACGTACTGTAACTATATGTACACTGGATTTTTTAACTGCATTGCTTTTATCGTCGTGTGGGTATAATTTCTATCCATACAGGTAAACCTTTGAATGCTGAAGTTAACCAATTGCCGAATAGGAGGGGGGGGGACCGAAACTTGCGATTTACTTGTAGTTTTGGTTGGTGTTTAGTTCGATGTGGAGCGGAAGCTTTTTATGTAATGTTTCCAGACTTGCCAAATCATTTGATTATTTAATTATGATTTGCCATAGTTCTAATATGAGCCAGCTTTTCTTTTAAAGACGTGCAAAATGATATTCTCACAAAGCAGATAACTGTTGTATACTTAACTATAATCAGTTACCCAGAGCTGGATTAATCATTGAACAAAATAAGCTCGATCTTAGGGCATCAAAGAAAGGACGTACCATGAAAAGGTGTTTAGGAACTCTGGAAAGTGAGCATAAAAAAATTCGCGTTACCGATTTTGCCCGGGAATGTTTGGTGCAGCTAAGCTAAGATCGAGAGAGAGAAAAAATAGGGGGAAAAAACTGACGTTAATGTAGGTGGGAGCACCAAAAACATTTTAGTGTTTAGTGCCTTAAATTTATAAATCGACTTTGCAGTTACTTTTTTGCATATCCAAAGCTGCAGCCTGAACCACAGTTTAAAGTACATAACTACTAAAGAGTTAAATAATTGCGACACGTATTTCGCCCAATGCCGAGGAATGCAAAATTAGCACACTGATGATGACATGTATACATGTTTAATATGTATTAGACCATAAATAATGACCTTTGAATGCTTACAAGAAATCGTCGGAATAATTATTTTATTGAAATAGCTAAAAATAGCTAAAATCAATTTGATTTTTTAATTTATTTTACTAATTGCCAAGTTATGAAGCAATTATCGAAATGTGTTAAAAATAATAAACTGTATAGCATTGAATTAAGACTGTAGGGAACGAATAGAATGGGATATCAAATATTAAAAAAGGACGTAAAATTTTGGAAAATAAATAGTGTGCTATGCTAGATTGGCATTTGTTGCAATTTTATGGGATATCTTCTTTACGAATCCGCTTTGCTATCCATCCTAAGTAATAAACTTGAATGTTAACTGTAAGCCCCCACTCAAAAACTCTGTCACTGTCAAACTCAATTACTTTAACAAAAAAATAAGAGCTCCGATAATGAAAAATAATTCTAGAAAACATATTGAATGGGGTAATTGAATCTTCAGAATATTTTTAAATTCTTTTATTGAATTCATTCTTTCATGCCTTTCATTTGAGAAGTAGAAAGCAAATCCCTTTTGTTTTTTGCTTAAATACTTTCCAGATTTGTGAATAAAAATACTTAAAAAAAAAGGAAGAGGAAAAAAAGCTATAAATCTATGAAAACAATGTATGCTTCCGTTAGGCCAAACGCGTGATTTAAAATATGAATATCACCTGTGTAGGAAATAACTAATTAATGAAGTTAAATAGCTACTTCTCCGACATCGTTAATAAACTCCTCATTGATAAGTTTAAAGAAATGAAGAAGCTATTGGAATTGTTATTGTAATTGTAACATCTGAAACTGCAGTTTTTTAAAATAATGGAAATAATAATCTCCTGCTCTCCCTTTTAACGTCTATTATTCTTGTGGCTTCTAGGATAAAATGCATTTTTTATTCCACAATTAACTAATAGGTTTAGTAATAATAAGCTGGGTAAGGAAGAAAAAAGTAAACGCTGTGCATGAAAATTAATTCTTCATAAAAATTAATTTTGTTAATATTTACTGCATTTAAAGTATATCTTTATATCCTTATAATAGTTGCTGACGTTGACCGTTGAAACAGGCATGCAACCAGTTGGTTTTTATCTGAATTTGGGAGAGTACCTTATGTCTTATGTACACATAAGCGCCGCCGCAATCGACAAAAAAGAAAAAAAAAAAAAAAAAAAAAAAAAAAATTATCTGGCAAATTACAGTGGCTACCATAGCATTTTATTCTTCGATTCCATCGCAGAAGCAGACAATAGATCGAGCTGGTGATAAAATAATAGTTATATTTCATACGCATAATTATTACTTCCATATTTTTAATAACACTTGTATGTAGTATGGGAAGACGCCATAATTAAATAATTTTGATAAATATTCCTCATAGCAGTTTATTTTAAAGTTTCAGTGCCAAGAAACCAAAAATAAAATTCTTACTTGCAGTTAAGCTCTACAGCGGTAAATAAGCGATACTGAAAATTCCAGGGGGATTTCTTGCGAAAAAATAGATTAAAATAATTGTATTCTGAAACGCTTTTAGTGTATGTGGGTATGTATCATTTTGGGATAATATTAATCTAAAACTTCTTATGATATTGATAAGAATATGCAATAATATTAATAATGATAAAAAGGCAACTTACTCAACATGTTGAATTAAAGTTTATGTTCTCGGGCGTGGATTCTAATAATAGCTTTTCATTTTCTTGTTTTAAATATTTTCATTTTCGTGTGAAGATTGTGAGTAACTTATCATTTATATTTTTAAACATCGTGTAGATATTTTTAAACTTGCATTATACAGTGAAAGTGTGAATGATATTTGAAAATTTATATCTTAATATTACGAAGCGATTTCATTTACGAAAACATTCAGACTTTCACCAATAGATGCCGCTACCAGCGATGAACGTAATAGAAAATTAAAGACCGAAACGAAATTACTTCCTTCACTTACATGTAGATGTCACCACCATACAGTGGTCTAAAATTAACCTTCTTTTTAAATTTCATCTCTCACGTTCTAGTTCAGGAGTGTAAACATTTGTTGTAAGAAGCATATTATATTACATTAAAATGTTATTAATTTCACAGACTGCCGTTTGCATTTTATCGTGTGGTATTTATATTTCGTTTCAAATGAACAAATTTGTTTATCGAATTTATGATAGAGGTTAATAAACCTGTTTCGTACTTATCATCATAAGATAAGTGAACACATTAGCGGTATGTATTTCATCTTGAGCCGTACCTTAAATGCAATTTTTATTCCTTTCTAATTGTATTTTATTGCAATTTATGACTTTTGAGTATATCTAAATACTGGTTGTTCGAATAAGATGTTAGTTGCAGAAAAAATTGCAAGCATTTATTTTTGAGACAGAATAAGAGGATTTTGTTTGCTAATATTTTCTAAAGTATGCATTTTTGTTTTCCAGGAAAGATGTTAGATGCAATGGCTTCTCAACAGTTATCATGTCTGGCATCATTAGGAGGATATCCATCTACAAGCAGCACTCTGCAAATGATCCAACAACAAGCAGCACATGTAGAAGCAATGCATCAAGCTCGTTTAGCTCATCATTTTTCTAAGGATTCCTCAAATCATTTTGTGGAAAATCCATGGTCACAAACTGCTGATAACAGTAATGTTCCAAGTATCAGTCAACAGTTGCCGAACAACAATGAGAACTTATTTGAATCTATAAGAGCAAAGATGATGAACAATGTTTCTCGAATGACATCTGCTCCTCCAAATAGTGTCATTCCAAATTCTCAGGTAATTTTTATTTTATAATTATTATAAATGGTGTTTGTTGAACAAAATGGTATCTTACTTACAATGGTCTCCCAGTTAATTGTGGGTAATACCATAGATTATGACCTCAGTTAATCTAACAGCAGAAATAAAAATACAGGAAAGATAAATAACCTATGTTATAACAAAAAGTGCTATTAACAGTTTATCTATATCCAGGGCTGGTGCCACCTGGTGCAAACTCTGCCACCCAGCTCCTTCCTAAATTCTAAAAATTTTGCCACCCAATGCCGTCATACCAGTTGCACCCCCTGAAATGTCAGCCCTGCCGATATGTTTAAGCTTTTTAATTGGGAAAATTAGTTAATCTGGCCATGCAAATCAAATCAGGATTGTAAGCAAGAGCTTCGAAACAAGTATTGTCTTTCTTTATATTGGTTACTGTCATATTTTGATAAGGGTCATTGGGAAAGAGAAGATTAATGGCTATACATTTGATTTGCTTTTAACAGCGTTTATTTATTCCAAGTTATGTGCAGTCAGATTGCATACTGTTGTGGATATCAACAATTCCTAAATATTGTGATATAATCTGCTGCCACTTCTGTTATCCCATGAACTTTCTCTCCATATTTTGTGAAGAAATTTTACTGTATTCTGATGATTTGTGACTGTAATTTTTCCGACGTTCCACTATAAACTAACTAAACATTTTTTTAAACAAGACCTAGTTAATCTGCAAAGCTGGGTAATCCTTTCTCAACCAGTCAGGGTATAACTAATGTTTTCTTGTTTCAAGATGTTTTTTAAATAAATTTCAAAGTTGTTGAACATGAATAACTGATAGAGTTCTGTTTATTTGGTATTCAAATAAATGTTCCTTTACTCTTTCTATGACTGGTTTTATACATTATAAAATCTGCCTCTGTTGCATATGTACTATTTTGTTCTGCAAAGTAATTTATGTTTTATAATTTAGAAATAATTCTTATGATCAGTAAGTAATGGAAATTGATAACATTTGAAAAATATTATAAGACAAAATTCTAAATCCAATAAAGTACAATGCTGTGCGAGTAACAGTTGTAGCAGGTTAATTAAGGCTAACTGTATTTCGAGAGACTACAGGGCCAGTCTTATTTTATCATAATTCCAGCCTTATTTTATCATAATTTATAAGCATTCTGTGCAAGACCCCTAGTTCATTTTGCATAAATATAGTGCTGTTGAAATATTTTGGAAAGTTAAAAGGAATGTAAGAATTAAGAACTAATTCATGCTGTGGCTGGAAATTAGTTTTTAAATAATTGAGGACTGTAGCATAGAAGACTTTAAAAGATATTTTGGGGCTATTAAATTTGTTTCATTTAGTCGTTATGCATATAATCATCCAAACTGTACGTTTTCATGAAATAGATCAAAACTTAAAGTTGTTTGCGTAAATTTTTTTAAAAAGCCAAAATTCATTTTAATTAAAAAATTTAGGTATTCTTGTGACAGGTGGCCTACCACCTATGAACCACGATCAAAAACTAATAATGTTGACATATTAAACCACATGAAAAAGCAGCAGTACATATATAAATAAATAAATGCAAAAAATTTATACATACATTACTTTTATTACATTACCAGATCATTATATTAAATTATACAACATTACAAGAAAAGTGCAATGATGTGGACCTGTCATATGCCTTTATGGTCGTCATACTTTAAACTCATTTAAAAAAAGCAGTTCAAGGAATCCCATTTGGCATCTCTGCATTGAAGCAGTCTATTTCACATTTGTCAATAGTCATCATTTACTACTATAATCAGATACTAAAAAACACTGATAAGTCATCTCTATTTTTTGTTTACATAAACTTTGTCGTGATTTCTTTCAGCATGTCCCTAGAAACCAGAAATTTGTGCCCATTGTTGTCACACCGCTTTCATAATTCGGCAGGGTAAAGGGGGGGGTCAGCATCATAGATGTTATTCCTGTCATATATGATACATTTTTTTCTCTAGTATGATTGCATAGGCATTCTGTCATTAGAGTATTGACCCTACAAACAGGATCAACAGAATTCGCCTGATCATTTATTATTAGGTGAATGTATCTATATTGGTGGAGAGTCCCGTAAGCTGGCCACTCATCACAATAAATAATTGTTGTTGTTCATGCCGCTGCTGTCTGTGTTATTAGAAGTAACCTCTGTTTGTCTCACCATTGAACTATGAAATATCTTTCTAGCCAGTCAAGGCCAAATCTCATTATTCATACTCATAACCGAAAACGAATAAAGTGTTGGTCACCTGTTATGAGAATATCAAAATATATACATAACTGCATCTTATATCATGTCATTGAAACTTACGAACTTAAACAATTAGTAGATGAATTTATTTATCATATACTTATCTTACTTTATTGTTTATTAATACCATAGTTTTTCAGCAGAAAATTCCATTTAATTATTTATAATGATAATTAAAATTTTAAAAGATTTCTGAATTGCATAACTATCAGTCTTGTGTTAATTTGCTCATATTCTCAACTCAAGTGACCTTCATACTTGTTTAATAAAAATATTGACATGATATTGAAAGAACAAAGGCTTTATTTCAAATAGTAGAATAGAGTTTTGATTAGTTGTTAACATTAATAAATTATTTTTACTATAAATATTAGTATTAGTAAAAGGAAAATCTGTTGTACTAAAAGAAAAGTCACAAATTGGAATGTACCTAATGGTAACCATAATGGCATGTGCACACTTACACACATACACAAAGCAGGGGGGAACTTATCATTAATACCCCAGAAAAATGTTCACATGGAAAAGAAGCCACTTCATAAAAACCCACATAAATAAAAACTTGGCTAAATGTATGATTGAGCAGATATATATGCAGAGTTCTTATACACTTTGCACTTGATTGATCAAATTATTATACATTTGGCAGTTGATTATTTTGATAACTTATTGAATAAATATTACAAATTTAATAGTAATATAGTACGTTTTAGGTAAAAATAACACTGAACAAATATTAATTTAAAAGTCAAACAGTTAGTCCATTGAAACTGGTCCCGTGAAAATTTGCAAATATAACGCTGATTTTTGTTGTTTGACTTCCAAATTATTATAGTATGTGTTTATGTGTACTGTACATACATGATGTATTAACAAGTTAAATAGATACTTTTAGTATAGATATCAATATTAACAATTTAGAAAGTATCTGTAAAAATCCTTCTTTCCTCCTGACCCCATCAGGAGGTGGGATCACTGTAATATCACTAAACACTAGTACTTTACACCCAGGTTCACATCTTGATGAAGAAACTGACTGCATGGGATTTTTCATGATGTTCCCATGTGTAACATAAGTATGAGTCCATTTCCTGGTACTTCTGTGCCTTAGTGATTTTCGAGAAAGAGACAGTTACCTATATGCACAAATAATTAATTCAGTGTGTACGGTACATAACTTGTTTAATATAAATATGTATTTATTATTCTTTAATTCAATTTTGTATAGAAGCATACCTGAAATTCATTTTAAACTGAAATTTCTTGATAGCCATGGTTCAGCAGTTACTGCTAATACTGTGTCAAACACATTACCATGGCCAGTGTAATACTTAAGAGTAAACTGTGCTAGGTAGGACTCCAGATGCTGAGAGCCACATGCCCTGTGCCTTTTGTTTCACCATTTTACTGATTCCTGTAAGATAGAAGATGGAAAATAAAGCATATTAACACATTTGCTATTGACTATCTCATATATGAGCCATATGGTTTTCTCAGGCAGACTTCGAACTTCAATGTGGGATGGTGATAGAGGCATAATCCCTTTATAATTTCCTGGTGATGTCCATAACAGCTTTACTTATATTAAGCAGTTATCTGCAGAAAGACTCATATTCGTGACACGTGTTCTCAGGTTGTTTATAGGTTATATTACATTTACAAATCAAATGTATAAGTGACCATTGTTGTGTATTGATCAGGTAAATATTTTGCTCTATATCATAATATTACTCATTAAGTTTTGCTTTATAATTATTAGTGAATTGTTTGATGTTCCTTTTTTAGTTCATGTTTATTGTAATAAAAAAATTTTTTTTTTCACTTCAAATATGTTTTTTCCTCGACAGATTCATTTCAAAATTGATGCTTGTATGTGGTCTGTGTGATAAGAAATGTCCCATATATGAGACAGTTGGTCCATTTAAGAAAATGAACTATTCATAAACCTGTGTCCCAGATATAGTCAGTTTGGGATGGTAGTCATATTTTTGATCAGAACATGTTCTCATGTGGAATTAGTTTTGAGTATTATTATAAAAAATATACTATTGTTTTTGTAAGATGGTCACATGTTGGTAGTGAGCATATTAAATATTTAGTAATGCTGAAGTAAGAAAAATTTCACTAGCTGGGAAAAAATATATAATCTATGTGCACATGTATGATGTAGCAAGTGCTGATTGTTAACTATAGACATTGAGTGAATTGCTTATGTATATCAGTAAACATCTATTTCTTACCAAGCTTGAAGTGCACAAATTCCTCTTTCTTGGGAGAAAGATAAAACTTCTGTTATAACACAGAAGTACTATCTTTCTCCCCCCCCCCAGCTTACCAGTGACTGAACAGTAAAATTGCTGAATAATGGTAGTTTGACCAGGGGACCTTTTTGTCACATCATGCAACTCTTCAACTCGAAATTCTGCTGCCATCGGATACACTGGTTTTGGGTTCAGCCCTGAGCTTGACCTAGGATCATATTCCAGAGAAATGGCTACCTGTATGGAAGTTTTCATAATTTTTCCCATGTGTAACTTAAATATGAACCAGCATCCCTTTGAAAACTCTCCATGAAGGCATCCCTGCCTAGGCAGGTAACACTTGCATGCTTAGCCATAATTTAAATAATCCATTCCTTTTCTCCCCATGAAAATTTCTCAAGTTTTTTAGATTTTAATTATTTTAGTTGTAAATATTTCCAGATAAAATTGCATA